TCTCTCTCTCTCTCTCTCTCTCTCTCTCTCTCTCTCTCTCCTCCTCTCTCTCTCTCTCCTCTTCTTCTTTCTCTCTCTCTCTCTCTCCCCCTCTCTTGTTTGTGTATGTGACTATGTGTCTCTTCCTCGATCAGGTCCAGACCCCAGCAAAATTAGGGGCGGGCCCATAGCACGAAGTGCAGCGGCGGGGGGTTGGGCCCGTCCATGGGGGGCGATCATCTGAAGCGAGGATGCATCATCGGTGTCAGCATCGGACCCGGAAACCCCATTGGCGCGGCGGCAAAGGCCGGATGCATCGCGGCACCCGGTGGCAGAGCTCCTATCATGCCTGCAAAGCAACGCAGTGTGAGATTAGTGCGACTCGCGATCGAATCTCGCGGGAGGCAAAGAAAACAGTACGTTGCCCACGTACGGCATACACGTGCTTTTTGATTTACTCGAGCCCGACGCCGCCGAACGAGACGACGTTTTGTTCGCGGGACCCTGAAACAGGATCTCTCTTTCTCTCTCACTCTTTTAATTGGGGATCGGGGTCCCCGGTATACTTACGTCGCGGAGTGTTCACGTTAGTGTTCACAAGGTAACATAAGGGTCCTGCGTGTTACGTTAATGCTAAGTTTCGATTCCTTTGTGTGCTTTTTTTCTGTATAGTTTCTCTGATAGATGTAATGTATTATGCTGACGTTCGTTTTTTGGAGGACCACACGTCCTTCAGCGCAAAATGAGTCATGGAACCGTTACGCTTGAAGTAAAATTTAAAAGAACTCTCAACGAATTAGAAAGCAATACAATTTAAAAAATCCACATATTTACATTAAAGAAAAAAATTTATTGTAAATAAAAATTGATCCTGATCAAGATCAAATCTTTTCATTTCAAGATTATAGAATATATATTTTTCAATTAGACTGAATTAAATTCTTTATTTAAGATTTGACTTAGCGCATTTAATTACGCTTCTGTCATTTGATTATACAATAACATTTAGACTCATGTTCCGCCAAAAAGGAGATTATTTTGACAGCCGAACGATTATCGCGTCATAAAAAGAAGTACATGTCGAGGTAAACCCGCGAGATATCAATTTAGTTTCCTTCGAGTGATCGATCCGAATTCGTTTCGTTCTCTCGAGCGATCAATCTCCGCTTGTCGAGACAAAGCCGGCCGAGCGTGAATTCACGTGTTCGACCTCGCGAGAGAGGTCGCGTTTCTTCGCGACGAGCCTCCCCTTGTTCCGCAATTCAAGTCCAAAGGACTGTACCACCCAGTGGCCGATCTGTCCTCCTCGGCAGCCCACGTACTACGTTTCTACCCAGCAATCTCTGATCAATGCGAATCGCCAAACTAGATATGCGTATACGATAGGTACATAACGTACGTAGAACTCAGCTCAGCATGCAGTGCGCCGCATACGCAATACAAGTCACAAACAAAACTGACAAGAAGGTGATACCACACAGAGAAAAACCTCACACCATACAAGGAACGAGTCTCACTCGGGGGGGGAAAATGCAACGTCGGCTCGACATTGCGAATGTATTACGAAAGCCCGCGGAGATCGTTCAGCTGTCAGCCGACTCCTTCCAACAAGGACGTCGCCGCCAAAAACGCATTTAGTCAGTCAGAAGTCCTTGGATTATATATATATATATTTTTTTTTATTTTAAGTAACGACTGAACGGTATGGAATAATGTAGTTTGAAATATTCGAAAGCACCACCGATGCGAGATACATCGGCATCAAATTTCTTGAAGTATCTTCTTTTTTACAACTCAGATGATACTCAACGAATATCCCGCGTGGAGTAAAAAAGAGAAAAATCATGTTAATCGGACGGATCCTCGATTAAACGCAAGAAAGAAATACTAAGTAACGTGAAGTCTTTTACTTACTTGCTCGGCACAATTTATCTAAAATTTTTCATTGTGTAACACAAAAGCTAGGCTATGGTGTGAGGGAGATACATTACGTTCGTTCTCGTTGCTGATTTCTTACTTTTTTCATGAGAAAAAAAATAAAATAAAATAAAATGCACCGGCGAGCACGGTGAGAACATAATTCGATCCCTTCCCTCTTCACGATATCTCATTTGCTATTCCATTTATATTTACTTACTTTATTTCTACAATGTACCCCAGATCTTGCGAGCCACCTTTCACTCGAAGTTCACTTTAAGCAATTCTGAAAGCGACTTTTTTTTAAAGCAAATATATTTGTACTTGTCGCAAACTTGTAACTTTCAACGTTAAATGTCTCAATAATTCTCTAATCGTAAATTTGTTGAAAGATAATTTGTTCGAAATTAAAGAATAAAGAATTTCGAGAATTACTTGTTCAAACTTCCAAATAAATACTATTATTTATTTTAATCTCGAAAACTCAGCTTCGCCATTTTACTTATATATTCTCAATGTAAAAATCATTAATTTCTTCAAATTGTCGGTTAAAATGGTAACTACTTAAATTAGTAAAAAATTTCGAAAATATAAAAAAAAAGTGATTCGGTAGGTCCGCGATACTCTTATGTAGCATTGAAAATTGAATTCGTTAAAATTATATTGACTTTAACTTATTGATATGATCGCCGATCGAATGCAAAGAAGGAAGGGATGGATCACGAGAGAAAATTATTGTTGTAATTATCATTTGTTTCTTATCACTTTGGAACGACAACTTCGAACGACTGTCAGTACCGTGCCCAAGGAAGCAGTTTCTCCACTACTGTATCACAACACCAGGATTCCAAGCTATATATAATATATAAGTAATACTGAAGAGACAGGATGGTAACACGGCTGCTGGCGAGGTAAATAATGGCGTATGTGAGTCGTAAGAAGAGTAATATGGTTAAATCGAGAAAGTGTGAATAAAGAAGCTGAGAACGGAACGGAAAAGAAACAAAGAAATCATACATGATAGAGATGTAAAAATATTGTAACGGCCGAGCGGCCGGAAAGTCTCTCTTTCCCTTTGTTTCTCGCGTATTAAACTGTACAAAGGAACTGTACTAGGAACTGTACAGGAATCAAACTATCACAGGAAAGAAAAAAAAGAAATGTATAAAATTACGAAATTCTAAATGGAAAGACAAACGTCGCGATATATCGAGAAAAATAATGTTAATTTAGAAATGTGGTAAGATGCACCAGAGAACGATCAGTTAAAAAAAAATCTGTTGAATAATTTAATATCGTTGCAAAATAGAAATCAACTCACTTTCAACTCATCATAGCTATCTTGTAAGATAAAAATTCTCAGAGATAAAAATTAATACAATCCGATAAAATAATTATCGAAATTATATATTGAGCAATAATAAAATAAATTAATAATAAAAGACACAATACATAACAATTAATAATAAAATAAACAATTATTTTAATTTGTAAATATAAAGAAAAAAACTTATTAATGTTATAGTGTAGCATTACCGAATGGAAAGTGCATTAACTTTTTGAATACGAGTGAAAGAAATGCTTATTCTGATATAAATTAATTCTATTATTTATTAATTTCTATAATTTCTGTTATTTTATTAACTACATTAAATCCTGCATACTCATTAATCAAACTCTATCTAATCAGATTTATGTTTTGATCAAGCTAATGATTCATGCATTTTTATCAATCTAATAGATAAAAAATCGTTAGACGATCGTTCAGTGATGCAGCGATTTTCTATATATATATTTTGTCGACTCTTGCACATTACCTGAATTTTAAATTGAGAAAATTAAATGCGTTCAAATTTAATTCGATTTGTGGCAAATCAGTCGAAGAAATGATTGGAATCAAGATAGGAGGAGGAACGTGTCGTTGGCCGCTCGACCCACCTGCTCAGTGAGAAAATATTACGAATATACAGAAATATATACACGGTGGCTCGCGAAAGCTACTCGAACAGTTTCCTGCATCGTTACTCCGAGTTTTTCGGGAGTCACTATATATACATTACGTATATACGTATATATTATATGTAGGTGTATTAATGACAATGATGACAGAAGATTAATCAACAATATATAAGAATAATAATAAATATAACAAGATATATATAGATATATATATGTATATATAGATATAGGCCATGTCACCGCATGCTAATTGCTAAGGACCAACCTTGTAGCGCTTGTATTGTAAAACACGGTTTTAGTAACCAGACTGGGTTCGTTCGACACTCATCGAGGAGTGACCGGGCGCCCTGCAAACGCACCGTTAAAACGTATAAACGTACAAGGACTACAAGACGCTGTGTCGTCGTGATTCTGTGATGTATCATTCGGTCGAGAATCTTGAGCATGATCTCTATAAGTTTCTATCTGAACAGTCATGACATTCCTCCCGCCTTTCTTTTTCTCTCTTTGCTGTCTCGAGTCAGTGGTATATGCACGTCGTTAATTTTCTGACCCCTTCCCCCCCAAATGTCAAGTCTGTTTTTCATTTATCTGTCTCGATGTTTTCGGTATTTTTCTTTAGCACATAAGTTTTTTTTTTTTTTTTCAAAGAATAGGGAAGGCTGTTGTAGTAAATAATTATTGCAATCTGCAATGCAAAGTGTAACCGAACTAAAGTATATCAAAGTATTGTTTAGCTAATATTCGATATCTTCTCTTTCTCATTTATAAAAAAAAATTCTTTCCCGGCCATCGACCGAGTAAGACTAAATATATAAAGATTGTTCACCGAAACAAAGTAAAGAGACATAGCACGTTGTATTTCCAAAAAAAATCTGAATCGATGAGTTTAATTCGTTCAATAAGAAAAAGTTGCTTAGTCGCTGCTTGAAAATTATAAATTTGCTTGGTTCAACATATCGCGTAAAATTTTATAAAAATTTCCGATGATTAAATAACTTTGCATCGTTATAATTATAAATGGTTCATCGGAAACGATCTTTCTGCATCAAAATAATGCAGCAAGTCGACTTTATTATATGCGCCTTTATAAAATCAAAAAGATTCGAGGACTTTTTTCGAGAAGAAGATCGCTTCCGAAACGGGACAAACAACGCAAAACTTTCGATCTAATATGATCTAATATTTTTATCCACGATAAAAAAAGAAGAAAAGAAAATTTAATCGCAATATGATTTATTCTTGTGCGCCTATTAACGTTACCGTCTTCAACAGCCGGTAAAATGGGGCGGGGGGGAGGGGTGGGGGCGATTGAAAAAAATCGATAGAAAAATACCAAGGGGAAAGTTTTAAAATTTCAACAACAAGAGGGGATAAAAAGACAGCAGGGCAGCTCTGTTTGTCGAGTACGCGGGGGGGCGGGGGCGGGGGAGAAGGGAAATGACGGACAGAGTCTTTTTTTTCGAAAGCTCAAACCCGCAGAGACTTACCTGGCGGCAGGCCCATGGGGGGCGGTCGCATCATGTTACCTCCATGAATGAGAGCAGGCGCTAGGGTCATGGTGGGTCGCATTAGGGGGTGCCATCAACGCCACCGAGCTAACGGGCATTGCTGCCGCCGAGGCCGGTACCATGACCGCCTGCGGTGGCCGCGGGAACCTCTGTTGCTGTTGCTGCAGTGCGTTCAGTGCCGCTGCCTGTTGCTGCCGTTGTTGTTGATCTGCCTGAAACGCGGCCGCTGCCACATTTGCCGCCTGCTGCTGTTGTGCCTGCTGTTGTTGTTGCTGTTGCTGCACCGCTTGCTGTTGTTGTGCTGCCGCTTGTTGCATGGCGGCGGCCTGCTGCTGCTGGCTCACAACCGCCGCTGCTGCCTCCGATTGTGCCGACCGTCCAGATTCGTCGGTCTGTCGACGCTGATACTTTGGCAGTCTTGCTCTTATTTCCTCCTACAAGATAAATCTTTTGTTTAAAAATCTGTTTTGTTTCCTAGGTTTCCATTATTCAAAATAATTTATTTTACAAAATAAAATATTATGATGAGAAATAGCTTAATATTTATGTTTTAAAATTAAGGATATCATTAGAAACAATAATTAATCAGTCGATAATTGAAAATAAAACACGAAATATGAAATTAAAAACTTACTAGACTGAGATCTTCGGGAGGGTGAATGATCTTACTGGCGGCTCCGGTAGTCGCAATAAGATTCACCTTTTGATCACCACTGCTGGCGAGGCTATTGCCAGTTGTGGTAGCGCCAGCGGATTCGCCGGCGCTACTGTAAGCTGGGAATGTCGGCTTTACTGGGCCTATAGAACCGCTGCCGCTGGCTATTGATGTGATCGGCTTAAAGTCTGTGCCAAGGGGTGCAGATCCAGTGACCGACGCCGCTGTCGACGCTGCCGTTGAGACAGCCGCGGCAGCGGCACTCGGAAACAGAGGACGCGCCGGCGGAATAGAAGCGCCCGAAACCGGCGGTTGCATACCAGAAGGCATACCTGACATGCCAGGCATCATGCTAGAAGAAAATATTTAATGTTAGTTGTAGTAATATTTATTGCTAAAAATTTGAATATATTATATTATTAAATAATATTCTATTATTATAATTTAAATATCCTGAACTATAGTATCGAGATCTTGTGTATAAAATTGAAATTCCATAATGATGAAGAAACACAGAGATTGAAACATAAAATCAATCCAAAAGCATTGCTAGGATACATTACTATGATTGATCGAAATATTTACCCTGGGCCCATAAATGGAGGTCCAACGTGGCCCATTGGCATCATTGGATGCATAGGAGGCATACCAGGATGTGGCGGCATGCCAGGGTGCGGCGCCATGCCCGGATGTGGTGCCATACCGGGTAATGGTGGCATACCTGGCTGCGGCGGCATCCCGGGTAGACCAGCTGGCATACCAGGCATCGCACCTGGTGCAGAACCCAGTAGACCTTCGGGTTTTGCTTTTTTCTGTACTGGCTCATCCTCACCAGATGATGGTGAGCCAGGTCTACCGCCATTTCGCTGTCTCTCGTGTTCCTTTGCGTCATTCGGCGGTATGCCCTCCATTCCATAAATTTCTATTTCAATATTGCTACGATTTGGCAATGAATTCGGTACCTTATCTATTGCCTCTTTGTGTACCTGTAAAAATGAAATTTTAAAATGAATTTGTGTTATTTTTAAAGTAATATATATAGAAATATAGTTAAAATATAATTTTATTTACCTGCATACAGTGTATGCTAAGTCCTGGTCCCGTGTATAATTTCTTATGACAGATATGACATTTGAAGTGTTTTGCTTTTTGATGTTGGATAAGAATTTTTTCATCTTCAAATTCACGGTTGCAATACCTTTTGAAAAATGGAGTTAAGGAAATTTGCAGAAAAAAGTGTATTCTTAAATAATAGCTTATATATATATATATATATATGAAATAAAATTTTCTAGATAAATGATGTTATAAGTAATTATAAGTAAGTATTTAAAACTCATTGCAAGAAAAAATATAAAAAATTAAAAGCTAAATGCTTATCTTAAAAATTGAACTCTTTCAAAATCTATAATCATTAAAATTAGAACATTGCTTTGAAAAACTTTCAAAATTATGTTTACATATATAGTAACTTGGAGAAAATATATTTAATCTAGCTTATATTATAAATAAAATCGTTTTTTGAAATTTCTGATCTTTCATAATTAAAACAAGTAGCTAAGTGGATAAACAATTTCGAATTAAAAACTTCATTCGTTCACTTTCACATGGAAGCTTTTTGTTCAATTTACAAACTCAACAATATTTGAACATTTGCTAAGTGAACATTTACTACATTGATGTATCTTATACATTTCTAAATACTTATTACAAAAATATTCATGATTAATGATTTCACAAAAACTATAATTCTCCTTGTTTCTCTCTTTATAAAAGATGATCATTTAATTCAAAGCTTTTCTACTGTTCAAACATTTTTAAAAGTCATTGTGTGAAGGATTATCCATATTTATAAATCGCCTTAAGAAAATTTAGATAAACAACTAGTAATAAATGGGAAAATTTAAGAAACTCAAGTAGAAAAGAACATTACAGCTAAGGTACAAAAATCATTCCTAATTTAGTGGGATAGGGAACAGGTCAATCTGCTCTTCTCTAATTCAGTCGCTTCCGCGTGGAAGACCCTCGATTGCATTACATCATCGTGCAACGCGTCGCATGAATGCGAAGACAGTGGAAACAGCTGCGTTCTCTCACGTACACGTATACACACAACACATACACATGTATATATAAATACGCGTGTCGCGGTGGCGCGAGGAAATCCCGTATCGATTTCTCCGCCTTCCGCGAACGTTTTGCTCCGAAGCGAGTTTCCCCGAGTTTCTTCCCGGTGGGAATCATCACCCGTTGCATAAATTACTACTGGCCGGTCTTGCTCGCTATTTCTCGTTCGATCACAGAACAGAACCTAACGTTCGCCTAATCCAAAAATACGGTTACGTAAAAGCGATCACCGCAGATCGTCATTGTCGTCGTCGTCGTCGTCGTCTTCTTTCTGAAGAAGATAAAAAGGATACCAGCACCAGGGTCTCGATTGCTTCTTCTTCTTGCGTCCCATCTTTCTGCCGGATTATTGAAGATTTATCGCTATCGGCGTTGACCCTGTCCTATATCACGGTCCTCAAATCGACAAGCAAGTAAACGCAACGCAGGACTCTTGGCGATAGCACTGTACACACGCATGCACACACACGCGCTCGCGCGAGAAAACCGATAATGTAAAATGGCCACCGTATCTCTTCCGTTGCTGGCGCCGGAAGTCGCCAGCGTGGCGCGCTTCAAGATTCTAAGATCTAGAGGAATCTAGGGAAATTTCTGACAAACGTGTTTCTTTAGGAAGAGCGCGATTTTCGTATGTTTAAAACATCGCACAACGGGAGTTAAAAGCGACACAACTCTCGATGTAGTAATACATGTGTATATTTTATACATACAAATTTAAGATACAAGTCGATGCTAGGCGAGCGGGTAAAAACAAATAATGTAAAATATGTTTGTATTAAACACATCATGATAAAGAAATAAAATATAGCAATCATTAAATCGTGTTCAGAAGATGTATATATAATGATGTATATATAATGTATAATTATATATATTTTCATATAATATGTATAGAGTACTTTTATATATATATGTATAATATATATATATATATATATATATATATATATATATATATATATACTATG